GCCATTGAGAGGAAGAGCTAATTAGAAATCTCCCCCTATCCCCACTACCAATATAATTGCTTTGATCATTCTGAAATGGAAAAAAACAAACAAGCTCTATAATATTGCAGGACTGAACTGTTCACAGGTCTACCATGCCTTCCTCCAGGACAATGCAATCTATTCTCTAGAATCCTCTTAGCTATCTAGCAATTTATCCATTTGGATTATGTAATCATGATCAGCAGAAATATAAATGCTTGGGAGGAAGGACTAGCATATATAATACATGTCAATGATATATAAATATCTCAGTCCTCTCATTTCCTTTGCAAAGAGCAAAGCCATGATAGAAATTCCACAGTATCACACAGTACTTCTTCACTAATAAATACAACTTGGCAACTGAATGTCAACAGTTTTCCTCTTCTAAAAAAAACAAAGTGAATAACCAAGAGTGCTGTCAATGTTTAGTTTTGTTGTTTGCTTATAGTCACTTGAAAATATATATGAACGTGATATCAAATATTTGAATTTATGTCATTTTATTTGTTTTTGCACATAGTAAAAGTAATTTGTATGTTTGTATAGTAATCTAGTGAACTATTACTGATTATATATGCATGTATCATTAAATCCTGTGAAGAAATTATACCCTGTCATGATAATTATAGCACACATACATTTTTAAATAAGTATCTGGCCACACTCAAAACATTCAATTTCACTTTTAATTTAAGACTTCTAAGGACATATTTGCACCTTCATTATCAGTTAATTACAACTTAATTGGCATCATATAAGACAGGAATGCCAATACCCACAAGACTAGTTCTGATATCACCCAGGGCATAATTGCATAGTTACAAACAACTACAGTAGCTACTAAAGAATATTAAATTGTGTCAGCTGAACCCAAACTATAATGAAAGTGTATGATTGCTGCAATGTCTTTTGTCTGATACCAAATAGCTTGAACTGAAGGCAAAGGCCCAATATTAGTCACCACAACATAATCTTTCTTAAATATCCCTCCAATCCTCAATTTACTCATCAATGGTCTTCAAGAGCCACTAGGGTTATAGCTATTACCAATATTAACAGATACCCATTCAGAAGCAATGCTGAATAGCCTACTTGCATGAATGTCAGCATGTAAGGTTCAAGTACTGCTCCTCTCTAAAGATGTTCAGTGACGACTTATTCCAGATGAGCAGTAAGATCTGGCAGTCACATTATCTATGATACATCTAGAATAGGTTCGGGGGGGGGGGCAAGTTCAGCCAGGGATACTCAAACTGGGATCATCCACACAGTGGCGGATTAAGGCTCACTGGTGCCCTAAGCACTGACAAATCTTGGTGCCCCCCTTCCTTTATACAAACTATACAAACGAAGCCATATTAGAATAGAATAGAATTCTTTATTGGCCAAGTGTGGTTGGACACACAAGGGATTTGTCTTGGTGCAAATATTCTCAGTATACATAAAAGAAAAGATACATTCATCAAGAATCATAAGGTACAACAATTAACGATAGTCATAGGGTACAATATTGTCAACTTTGTGGTGCCTCCTTTGGTCCTGGTGCCCTAAGCACCTGCTTAGTCTACTTAATAGTTAATACACCACTGCGTCCACATATTGGGCATTACAAATTCCCACATTTCTGATGACTAGGTGTGCTGTCCAGCATTTATGGAAGTTCTTGTCCAAAACACCTGGAAGATATCAATTGCCAACCTCTGCATTTAGCCTTTTATATCCTGGTAGCAATATAATTTTCTATCAACTGTAAAATAAATGTTATCGTGCCAATTTGATATTTGGGTTAAAACGTGGAGGTGAGGGTGCATAGAGGAATCTTTTTTTGCCATTAAAGACAATAACTCACAAATTGTCCAGCTAGTTCATACTAATTTGTCTCAACATCAGCAACACAATAAAGAATCATAGACAACTTAATTCCTTTCTTCCTCAAGATAAAAATCCTTCCGTCGTTTATTTGGCAAATTAGGTGTGGGACAAAGAACAGTAGGCAACATAAATATTATACTGTGCTGTATGTCAAATTCTCTTCAGAGAAAAATAAGGATTAAACAGAAACTAAAGGTAGTTTAAAAATGCACTTAAGAGAAAGGGATTGGCTCCGTTGGCTGTGGAGGAAACTGGGGAAGGGCAAAGTCAGGTTGGGCAGAGCAGGGAAGAGGTAGAACAGGGGAGAAGGGGTTCAGAGGAAGAATGGAGAAGAGAGCAACGTGGGTTGCCTGGCTTACGAGGGAGGAAAGGACCCTGATTCCCTTCACAAGGCACACCTGGGGATGAAGTTTAAAGGAGAGGCATATGGGAGGGAACAAATGTTGAGTTTATCCTGTGTTGGCTGCGGTTATCTGAGTTCCTGGCATCCTTCCAACTGGTTTGATTTACTGCCTTGTTACTTCATTTCTGGAACTCCATATCTTGGTCTGCCGGTTTGTGGGAGAGTTTTTCTCCAGACCAGAGGGTAACCGGGTCATTGTGGGCAAAGTTGGAGCTAATAAAGGAACTCATTCTTACTCTCTGGCTGTGTTGCCTTTGTGCCATGCCCCAGGTCATCACATTGTGGTTTCCCCCGAGGTAATTCTTTGATTGAGATATAATTTTCTGCCCGGTTGCTGGTCTGGTTTTAAACCCTGTTTATCTGGGTGTTGATTGCTGTATTCTGTTCTTTTTGTTTTCTTTTCAGTTTTTTTATTGTCTTTTAGGAACATTATGTAAATTTTATTTATCTCTATGTGATGATTGATGGCTGATTTTGGAATTTGGAAATGCCAAATTTCCATGAATTCCTTAGCTATTTAATTTGATTTACGATACTCATGGTTTTCCAGTTAAAAGAGTCTATCCATAGGTTTTGAAATTACAGAGTTATCATTCTGCCTTCTGAATGATTGATCAAGTGACACCTTCATCATTCAAGTGACACCTTCATCATAATAAAAAAGGAACAAGTAGAGAAGACACAGGGACGTGGTGGCTCAGTGGCTAAGACGCTGAGCTTATGGATCAGAAGGTTGGCAATTCAGCGATTCGAATCCCTAGTGCCACATAATGGAGTGAGCTCCTATTACTTGTCCCAGCTTCTGCCAACCTAATAGTTCGAAAGCATGTAAAAAATACAAGTAGAAATATAGGGACCACTTTGGTGGGAAGGTAACAGTGCTCTGTATGTCTTTGGCATTTAGTCATAACGGCCACATGACCACGGAGACATCTTCAGACAGCGCTGACTCTTCGGCTTAGAAATGGAGATGAGCGCCACCCCTAGGGCCAGAAATGACTAGCATGCATATGTGGGGGAGCCTTTACCTTTATCTAGAGAAGAGACATGAATGACTAACATTTTCAAAGGAATAAAATTAATAAGGGAAAACCACATACTATTTTTCCTGGATATCTTCATCAGCAGAGAAAATGATTGCAAATTAGGAATTAACACCAACAGACAAAAATAATATAATAACATAGCAGATAAAAATAATATAATAGCACAGCAATAGCACTTAGACTTGTATACCGCTTTATAGTGCTTTACAGCTCTCTCTAAGCAGTTTACAAAGTCAGCATATTGCCCCCAACAACAATCTGGCTCCTCATTTTACTGACTTTGGAAGAATGAAAGGCTGAGTCAACCTTAAGCCAGTGAGAACTGAACTACCAAACTGCTGGCAGCAGGCAGTCAGCAGAAGTAGCCTGCAGTACTGCATTCTATGTACTGCACCACCCCAGTTCATAACACCCTAATCAAAGAATTATCAAGAAAAAAACATTCCTAACAACACTGGCAGGGCAAGCTACTGTATGTAAACAGGGAGCAAACTCTACACTCATGTGCAAGATGATATTAGCTAGGTGGGTTATGAAATATTTGCAAGCAAATAACCAACTTCAAAGAACACCAAGGACTCTACTTCAACCCTGAGCTACGTATACTCTCTTCTATTGGAAGAAACTAAAAGCTAAAATTTGAAAGTTCCGATGTAATAAAATTGTTAATTGCCTGGCACTATACAACTGGGGAGTCCATAAAATACATTTAACTCTTAAATATATCAAGCAGAACAGTACTGCTCAGAATCAAATATTTAGAGTGCAGTACACTTAAGATAAAAGTGGCATTTATGGCCTGCACTATCTCCTTGAAACTCCCATATACTAGTGACAGACGTACATATCTCAAGGTGCCAAGAGCTCAGAGCCAAGAAAATGCTCAAAGAAAGGCCTTTTATAAAGACAAGCTTGGACCCGACTTTCTGATGAAATTATGCACCATTTCAAATTATAATTCTGAGTAACTTTCTAAAGGCATGTTGGAAAGTGTATTGCAAAAGAGATACTGAATACATCAAATGTGGAATTGATTAGTTATAAACCTTCCTTTTTCTGCTATCTTCTCTTTTACTTTTTGTATTCTATATTTTTAAAAAATAATAGACAAACAAAATTTCCTGCTTTAGAAAAAAAAAAAATCTGCTATAGAAATTTCTATAGAGGCTCCAGTTTGCAGCCCATTTCTTTAGGAAAGTAACCTTCTGGGAAGAAGGGTCAACATAAATATTCCATTTTAGACAGCTTTAATCACTTTTATTCACTATTTGTATATACAAACACATTTTAAAGATAAATATGTAGTTTCTGTTTCTTTTATTCCTGTTTTTGTTGAATGTATTTTTTTTCCTTTCTACATGTTCCCCCTTTTGGGTTCCAAGGACCTTTGGAATTTAGATTCAGTCTTCAGTTTAAAATTCCTGAATTTTCCACTTCTTATATAATGTAAAATTAATTCAAAAAATGACTTTGAAAAATTCAGTATTGAATTTGTGTATGTCTCTCTGTGGGTACAACTTATTTTATTGTAAAAAATTTTGTAGGGTAATCAAGAAATTTTCTAAAAACTAAAACTGCAACTCCTCCATATTTTTAGCAATGATGATGAAGTGGTATATCTGTGAATGGATGCAAACAAACCAGCATAGACTTACTTGAGCTAGTGCAGCATCTCGCTCTTCTATCAATGCATTAATTTCTTCTGCTGTTATTTTCTTTTTCTGTTTCTGGGTCCTATATATGCGATCGACAATTATAGCTCCTGTCCTCCATATCGCCATACCGGTGTCTGCATTGTTTATTCTGTTCAGTAATTCCTGTAATGTCTACCAACAGCATTCTATGTTCGTCAAACAAGAAGTTTTAATATACTTTATTTAATATAGGGTTTTAATTAATAGGCACATGTGAATTGTAAATTGACTGAGAGAAGTTATTGAATTTTCATACTGGAGCAAAGATGTACATTATTAGTGTGTCAATTCTTCTTTTTCCCACATCTTAGTTTCTGAAACCCACTCAATTGAACTTAAGCCTCTAAGATATAAGACTGACATCAAGAAATCTCCTCAGAGAATGGCTTACCATGTCATTTTCTTCAGGGTTAATATTTTCTAGCCTAGAAAAAAGGACACAGAAAGCCTGATCAGTAGCATTTCCTTAGTGCAGCAAAATGAATTCGCTTTTTAAATCTTTAGAACCCTCAAGTAATTTCATTCTACTGGTCTTTAGAGTCAACCATGACACTGAACATATTAAAGTGCCACCTGCTCGATTCCATCTTTCAATAATGCTCCATATCTTCAGCACTGACTTCAGAATGTTAAGTTATTAATGTTTACTGCTATATATGACTACAAGGATCAATTGTTCATATGTGCTTAGATGAAGAAAGTTCCCCAGCGGCAGGGGCACCGAGGCACCTTTTATTTATTTAATTCTGCACCCACAGAAATACATAAATAAACCTCCAGCAGAAATTATATATTTTAATTTTATCACATCCCCCATGACAAAAAAAACAAAGCAAAATAAAAATCTTTAGCTCTCCAATCCTAACACCTATGTCCGAGGCTTACTGTTTTTAATGAAATTTATCTGCAAAACGTTTGCATGGAATTGCTATCATAAGTCTGTGGAACAAAGTCTAATGATTTTTACTTCGTAACAGTAATTTAGAAATTAAACCTTCTCTAACACCCCAAACAATTATACTGAAACAATAGGATAAGAACAAAGATTTGAGCCCCATTTTTTCAGTTGACACATTTTTCAGTTGTTACTAGCTCGGTCAAAATCTTTCTGCAGAACTGCACGTTATTAGCTCAAAACATTTATTCTACCTCATTTCCAAACCAATTGTAATGAAGAAAGAGATGTAACATTATAAAAGGTTGTATGAAAAGCTTGTAAATATATCTTAACATTTCTGTAAAATTAAATTATACCAATCAGTAAAGCAAGTAATCAAGTTACAATATCATGCAAATCGGGGATTAGGAGGCATCTATGAAGCTGGAGTCTGCATGCGGTAGAAATACTGCATAGCATTCCTCAATTACCTATTAATATTGCAGCAAGGGATGGTGGAGTCATTCCATTCGTGCTTTTATGCAAGCTTATCTAATTTTGCATTTCAAATGAAAACTCAGTACACCTTAAAATTACAGATTTTTCAAACCTTGTCATGCCCACATGCAAAAAAATGAGTACAGAAATATATCTGTAACTATTGTGAAAAAAATATAATAATATAAAGTACACATTAAAGAAAACTGAAAAATGTCTATATTTTGCAAAATAGCATAAACCCAAAAAATAGAAAAATGCATTATTAACAGCTTAACGGATCATTTTGCAACATCTTTAAAAACTGTTTCCAGTTGAAGTGAGCTTAACAGGAAAAAAAATATTCTATTTCAAATTAACCAAATACTTTATTTTGTTTCATTTTATTTCTGATGGAAAAGTGGCTTCAAAAGATTTGATCGTCTTCCTATAAAGTAAGATGTCTAATTCACAATGTTGTAGTCCAAGCTCTGAACCCCTGTATGAAATGTGACATTTCCTTTAATTATCCATGCATAAATCAATACTGGTTTCCCTCTCTTACATACTCAGTCAATCATCACCTTGTCTATGTCAGGATCAAGACCGAGATCACACATGAATTAATCTAAACTGTAGCAAATAAAATCAGTGTACTGCTTAGGACCTGTTACTCATAAATGTAGCTTTTTCTAATCATTCTAATCATTCCAAGGAGGAGAACAAGAATTTAAGAGAATGTGCACACAAATTATGTTCACAAACTAGAATTTAGAAACATGTTGTATAATTGCTTAAAAAATCCACCAAGTACTTCCTACTTTTTCCCACGTATAGCAAACTAGCAGCTAGAAAATATATGTGTGCGTGCACGCATAGAGTTAGGCATATACAGCATACATACATGCATAATGGGCCATATGAAGAAAGTGTGATAGGTACAGCCAAGCTTTCTCGCAAGACAGTGGACATTAAGCAGCCAGAATAAAGATGTGTACATACGTTTCGAGAGGTTGTTCCAGTAGCCTTACTTGTTTACACACATCACTTTTTTCCTCACTGGCCAACTTCAGTCTAGCCATGATGGCTTCATCATGGTCATGTTGTGTGGAATGAATTTCTTCTATTAGAACTGCAATATAGTAAATTAGATGTATTGTATGAGTATGATCCACAAAGGAAACTAATCTATTTTATAGTTGTTTTTAACTTTTCTAAATTAATTGATACTTATTTATCCATGGGAACTAATTATAACATCTTCCATCTTAATCATTTCCAGATATACACCCATATTAGTCAGGACCCAATTAAAATTTTCTAAATTAAATGAATGAATTGCTGAACCTAATGCAGATATGTTATTCAGATATATATTTTTGATGGTATTCCCCCCTCCCCTGGGTTTAAAATAAATAAGTAACAATGTTTTTAAAAAATGTCTGAAATCTCATGACAGCTTACATGCAAATCTCTAATTCTTGTGAGATTTTTGACACTCATAAAATTTTTGCATTTTTCTATGTTTACCTATGAAACTTTTGAGACAAAATTGCCTCAAAATTTTTAGTGAGAAGACAAGTAATATTGCAAAATTTTCACTGTTCCGGTATAAAGTATAATGAGAAATGAAGAATGAAAGCGCAATAAATACAATTAAAAAGTAAAAAAAAAAACCCAATCAAAATATAGTAGGTTGTAGATAAAGACACTGTTGAGAAATTTGTTTCAGTTTTGGAGAAAATTGTATTATTAGACACACAAGCTGTGTTTTGAACAACTAACATTAGTTGAAGATGCCTCTGCAAAAGGTATTTAAAAGGCCTTAAAATAGTTAGCCTTTTGAAAAAATTATATCCTGATTTTCTCATCTACAACTCAAAGTGGCATACATGTTTTCCTCAAAACATACTCCACAAAATGTTTAGGGCTGAAAAAGAGTGACAATCACAAGAACTAAAAGTTACTGGTTTCTCATGCAGTACATTAATTGCTGCACCAAACTGTCCATTTCTAACCATTTTTAGGAAAATGTTAGTCATGTAAGTCAGTGGATACTACTCTATTTTAAATTGGACCAGTGAATAAACTACTGTGTGGAAGGAGGGGGAAGAATAATCATGCAGATAAAAGAAAAAAAAACTGGGTAATCCATTTGACTTTAGCGGAACAATGGGCAAAGATTTTCAGGTCTATTGCATCAAAGTCACCTTTGCTATTTCCTGGAACACCTAGGTTTATCTTGGCAAACTATTTCAGCCAAGCCAAGTTCGTTTAAGTATTTTTTTAAAATGACATTTTAGTTGAAATATGAAGCTTCTTGAAATAAATGTGCATATTCAATGTCATGTGGAGAGAATAAGCTATCAGTCACATTGCCAAAGCAGAAGTCTATTATTTTAGATGAAAGTTGGCATAAAAGTAGACCCAACAAATCAATTGTGTATCGTATTTTAAGATGACTGGAAAAAAACATATTTTTATTAGTAAAGTAAATTTAGCTTATCTTGCTGCAGTAGCATGCCATCAACATTTGAGTATCATACCAAGCCAAACATCTGCATTACAAAATGGCTTGCTTCCTGAAAGAATTGTATTAGATCCATCACGACTAACGCACTTGTACTTTTAAGATAGATAATAACTGTAAACAGTTAAGGTACATAGCTATTTCAAAGTTCACTTAGAAAATCAACATACCATTTTAGATGGAATTTGCTCATTAAATACCCATAACAGTAATGCAAATTATACGAGAATGAATAAGGCAAATACATATATTTCTTTGTTTTATTAAATGTAAAATCTGCTGTTAATCACATAGGCTGTGTTGTATAAACTTTTCTCTTTTAACTATTAAAAGGAAGTCTTTACAAAAGTCATTAGAGATCCTCATTCTTTGACTTGTATAAATTTCAATATTTGTTCAGTAAAGGTTCGCAGCAGTTAAATTACATTAACAAATATTATTAGCTACTATGTAAGCCAACTAAGTAAAATACTTATATTGCAGGTAAAACAAATCATTGGATGTTTACGATAATATTTGGACATGTCCACTTTTAAACAAGCTTATCAAATATTCTGTAATTCTAAGTCAAATTACAGAAACTTAGAGTAGATCTCCCCCCCCCCCCAATGCTCAAATTTGTTTAGTAAGCTAATTGTTTTCTAATATGGGATAAAGCAAATATGAAGAAGCTGAATCATTTCCAGTATAAGTTTACTGAGTCAAAGCAGTGTACATATTTTCTCAGCTAAACCCAGTTCTCTTGGCAAACCTTTTGGCCACACTTTCAGGCTACCTTTAAAATACAGTAGTAGCAAGAGAGGGTGTTAGAAATCATTCTAGTATAAACATTGGTTCATGATTCTCCAAACAACAGAAACTTGAAGGGGTGGTGGATGAGGCAAAGAGAGAGGGCATCTATGTCTGTTTGCTGATTTCTCAGAGGTCATCTGTGTAAATATAGAAACTGAATAGTAAATGCTGGAAAGAAGGAATAGTTAGGAGTTTAGATAGTCTACTGCAAAACTCACATGATATGAAGGGAAAAAATATAACTGTAACCTTTTAGACAACAGATAAGATTTCTAAGTAAACCAGGATAATTAAGATATAGATCTACATTCTGAATTGTCCTATAACGTGCAATTCTAAATTTTGTTGTTGTTGTATACTTTGTCAATATGCTGAAGCACTATTTTGCATTTTTTTGGAATAAAAAGACAGCATAACTGTATCTCCCTTCATGGAGTGTTTTGAAAATGCACATTGTAATGTACCAATATATTCAGAAATTTTCCATTCTTCCCATAATCATTCTTTATTTTGCATATTTCATGAGATTCTAGCTTCAATAGTTTCTTGTGGGTATTTTTGGTAGGTGAAAAATAAATGCACTGCCATAGCATGCAGATTGTCATAAGAGTTTTGTGATTTTGGAGTTAGTATTCAAGATTAGGGACTGTTGAACTCTGTGTGACCTAGGATTTCTCCTCACTGACTTTTAATGGCTTCACACAGATATCTTTCTTCCACAAGAGTCAATATGAAGGACTACGGAGCTACTTTTCATTTTCAGGCTATCCCTAGTAAAGATAAAACATTCCTAATCTGAAAAATATTTTCAAGGGCAAGCTATACAGAGTTAATATGTAAACGAACTGAAACTGAACAAATAACATGTGCATTTTTTTTCCCTCCGTTTCAAATAAACAGGGAAGAATGCAATATAAAGTTTATTTGAAATTAAATTATATGAATCACAGATTCCTATAATTAAAAAAAATTGATGGGGAAATGGGTACAGGTTTAAGCAAATGTCTCCAATTCAAAAGAATGCATGCGCCTCTATGGAAGGGTTGCTAGAATATACTGCAGTATTTATCTGCTTATCAATTTACATATGTCATCATTAGCAAAATGCTGACAAACATGGAAAATCATCTAGGTTCCAGATTGGGATCTTATGAAATAACCAAACGTCAGTAGTTTCCAGACACTATTTGATAAAACACTATATTGACATAAATTAAATCACGAAAATATAGAAGTGTTACAGAAAAAATAAATGAAACAGAACAGTTTTAAGAGGACAAAACCAGATATTACAAACAGCTAATCATTTACATTTTAAAGTGACTCAGCAGATAAAGCAATGTGCACTAACAATGATAGAAATACCAACACCTTTATTTCCTTGTACATATTTAGTTTGAGGCATTCAATTGATCCTACATTTCTGGTGCTATAAATGCATTAATTATACCCAAACTGTTTAGCAATACCTGTAAAAGCAAGTGAAAAGACTTTGCACTCTGGTGTTTTCCTGTTTACTTAGATCCTCAAGAGGGAAAACGAAAGAGAAGGCATGCAAATAGGAATGTATACATTTCCCTCCACTGTATTTACATTTCTGAGTTCTTTACTAAAACCAGTTGCCCTGCAACACTAAACTTACTGCATCTTTTAAAGTGCACATTTTAGTAGACATGACGTGAAAGTCTATGTGCTACCACTTATCAACAGTAGTTAAAGACAAAAGTCATCTACGTACACATCCATAAAAATATCCACAACTAAACTCAATATATTCTATGTGAATTGTATATAAATGGATAACTCTTAAAATGATTGTTTCTCAGAGGACACCTGGATCTGTTTTTCTTTTTTACTGATAGGAAAGGTTGACACACAACAGTACTAAAATACTAGTCTCAATTCTTCCTACAGTTAAAAAAAAACAATAACAATAACCAATATAGCACATTCAATGTCTATGGAGAGACAAGTCCCTGTTTGTGGAGGTGGGAGTGGAAGGAAAAACTATAGGGCTATATTAGCAATCACTCCGTACAATCAAACTGCACTATTCAATTGGTGTGAATGTCTGTTATTCCACAAAGACATTCACATTTTCAGGATAACCTTATTTTCAAGATAAGCTTTCAGTAGAAAGAACTTTTCTCTTTCCCTATACTAGTCTTTGAAAAGTGCATTTCTGTCCTATGTACTGGTACATTAAGTTTTGCAACTTTAGAGAACAAATCTCTTCTCCCTAAAGTCCATTAGTTAAACTCCAACTGATTTTAGTGAAATGAAACAGGACCTATAGCTTATTAAAGGTCTTGGAACTTGTCAAGACACATATAATGAAAGATTTAGGAAATGTATTTGCATAATACAACAATCCTACAACAAAACCAGGTCTGGGTGTATTCTGCATGTAAATTTAGGATAGAATTATGTGGGGAAAAACTATATATTACATACTTCAAAAATAGAATGTCATCGATATTTAGATTTACAAATACCAAGGTTGGGAACTATTGTGATCTTTTGGCTAAAGCCCAATATTGGCCTTATTTCAGTTTAATTGGAAGAAGATCTTAAATTCATCTTCTCCATGAGGTATCGGGAACCTGGATTTCTCTTTGTAGCAAAGGTTAATAAGAAATGTGTCTGCAAAAGTCAAACAGCATTAAATATCAAAAACTGATTATTATTCTGCAGCAGTTGTTCTGTCATTCATAATCTCTCCATGCTTCACCCTTCCACAGCTAATCTTTAATGGATGACATGCAAGAAGGAAAAATAAATGGCATCTAAAAAGAAATACCAAAGTGAGCTAAAAATATAGTTTTCTCTTCAGTGGAAGCAAAAGGTAAAAAGAAATATCTGTGCTAAAAGAACTTTAGCACTATTTGTTTCTTGTTTCTGACTGGACCGAGCGCAAACTTATTATTTTCTGCAATAAAATTGTTTCAATTTGATTGAGAAATATTTTGAAAACCAAACCATTTGTCCTGTTTCATAGTTTTAATGCTTTAGTTGAAGGACTGAAAAGAAGACTGGCATCGTGATGTTAATAAATTTTGAACAGGACAGTAAGGAAGCATATTGAAGAGCAGATGTGAATCTTCATCGCTGCCAAAATAAACCTGAAAATTCTCTCTGTATTTAGACCAATACTACCTTACAGGAAGTATCTAAGACCCCAGATAGTGAGGCCACAGTGGCCCAGTTTTCTAAATAACAATGTAAGATATTTAGACAAATGCATAGGTATGTTTATTTAAATAAATGAAACATAAGCACTGTACAGTTTTAAAATAATAAACCACTTCCATATTGCAGCCTTTGTACAGTTTTAAAAGTTTCTCAGAATTTCATCTCATGTAAAGTAGTGGTATTATTAATAAACACATATTTAGCCTAGAATCTATTTTTCTATATTTTGAATTTGAGATAGCTTTGTTCCAGTTCTAAGATGCATGCAGCAAATTCTTTCTTCAAGAATATAAGGCACATTTATATTTGGTTCAGAGTGTCTTCTATTTCTTATCATTTAAAATTATAGATTGATATTGTGTTACATATGCTTATAATGCTAATGATAACAATGGAAGGGTCTTAGCGAGATAAGACATTATTCCCACATATAGTGGTGGTGGTGATGGGGCGGAGTTTTGAAAGATCGTTGTTTATTATTCTCCAAATAGTAATTTCTGTTTCAAACAGTAGCAATTATCAGACCCTTAAATCAGCCAATATCTTTTCTTAGTACAGCATGGCGAAATGCCAAGGACTTTAATGAAACAACAAATATTAACTAACTGACTTGCAGTGTTTATCTGGAACACCCTGTCTTGTTATTGCAAGCGTGGAACAAGTAAAAAAAAGTTTTAAGGTAGTTTATAAGATTTACTGAAATGATGTACAGTTATCTTCTTGAGGAAGCCTGTACAAATGAACTCTTGGCAAATCCTGGCCATTCGGAGCCCATGGGGCTTTCCAGATGTACACAGTTTATGTCTACTTTTCCTATGTTACATCCAGTAAGAGCTGTCCAAAGGCCATAAAAGAAAATGGGATAATCTCTGTGTCATTGGGCCTTCACAACTCTGTTTTTTCTAGATCCAGAGCTTGGGTGGAATTGGTGTCAAATTTTTGAGCCTTTTTTAAAAAAATACAGGCAGAAAGAAAGTCTTACTGTCTGGCCAATGTAAATGTCTACAGCGTGCACATTGCTGAAAGAATGAAAGCCTGCATGTTACCCCCACTGCTAGCAAAGAGCAGAGATGTCAGAAGCAGGTGAGTGAGGAACAATGGAAGTGGAGCTAATGGAAAGCAAGCAGGAACAGAGTGATGGAGCTGCTGAGAGACAAGTGGCTAGAGAAACAGGGAGAACTGAGAACAATGGCATTGAGAAAAAAGAAGCTCCTAGGCAGACTAGGAGTGAATAGCAATCAGGTTTCATAGGGCCAGTACCAGCATAAAAACAAAGGCCACACGAGAGAGCTCAAAATGAGAAACTATGCAAAAGAAGGGAGGCAACATTATCTCCAAATACTGTCCTTCAGATAAGAATCTTCTAGCTCACTTTTGTTCCAGGGATAATTCTGAGCATGCTAGGCTTTCTTTGAGTTGGAGCAACCTTTCTAGCTGTGTGTCTGCAGGTGATGTTTGGCTACAACCATGATTATTACCGACCATTCCTGAGGCTGCCTTACAAATACAAGGGACCATAAAAAAAATGGGAGGCATCAATAATGCAACCAAATTAAAAGATAAATCTTTGGTGAGGTCTGCAAACCACCACACTGCAATAGCAAGCCTGCATTTTTACCCATGGTTATTCCCCAAATTGAGTTTAAATTAAGGAAAGATATAATATCTTGTACAAGAGGTTTGTTTAGAGGCAATGAAGGTTTAGCCTTTAACTCAGTCATTTAACATCTGTAAGGAAAGGGAAAAAAAGCTAGTGCTTAACAAAAAATAAAAAGACAATAATTATTATGATTACCTTTATTGTCAGAGTACAACATGTGTACAATGAGATTGGCTGAGCCTCCCTTTGTGCAACTCCCCCCCCAACACAACTCACAGTGGGGACAGAAGTCCCTAACCCAGTCCCAATCTTATTATACTATGTGACCTTGTTGCACAATGCGCCAGCCCTGCAAATACTATAATCCAAGCATAGCAATGGCCGCTTAGAATATCTGATTCCAAAATACATATACTAGTAATGAGTCTGCTTCACCCGTTCATCTGTTTTCAATTATCCGTTTTAGAAAATAACTATACAGTATCAGTGCTGTTTCTGTCTCCTCTTTTTGTACTACTGCAGAAATATCTGAAAGGTTTTTTTTTCTTCATAAGCCTTTCAGATTTTTTTTCTACTTGATTTTCCCATGTTTGTAATTTTCTGGCTTGAATTCTCTTCTTTCATCCCAAGTAATAGTAAGTTCACTTCTCACCTTAGATATATTGCTTTTTCTTCAACCACAGTTAAGCTGGGAAAGACTATGAATAGTTACCTCTAAAAATCCCACACTAAGAAGGAACAGCATCCTCTAGTGGCCAGAAAATGGAGACTGTTAAGAGAACTGGTTTGTCAACCAAGTCAGAGCAATTCTAAAAAGGCAGAAAGCAGACAAAGATGCCCAAACCAAAAGTCTAACTTCACATAAAAGCATGAAAAGTATACTAATATAATAATTTTCAGCCAGCTTTTTTAATTCTTCACTTATTCTGCTTTTAAGTCATTCTTGTCATTATTTCCTTGCAGATACAAAAAACACTGAGGCCTACTTAAAACTGCCGGATTACCGGCTGCTTGGATCATGTGTGAACACCATTCCTGTGTCCAAGTATCGCATCCTGTTCACTGCATTTCCTCTGAGCTTCGGATCTATGCCTATTTACTCTGTATGATAACTACAGATGGGCATCCATATTAGTGGGATGTTTTCCTATTGCTTTGCTGTTTTTATTTCTCCATCTGCTCACTCATACTCTTTCCTCCTCCTAACCTCTTCTCAAACATCAGCATCCATCTAACAAAAGATATAAACATATGCTCTGCAGAGCTGAGTACAAGCTGGAAATATTAACCTTCTATTGCAGGCAAGCCATTTCTGAATTTCAGATGCAACCTCCTTCATCAGTGATGTTAGGTAAAAATCTAATTTCATTTCTTCATATCTCAGACAGCTTCTACAATAGTTTGCTTTCTTTCTCCTGTCAATTTTATATTACCAATGTCTTTCCAGAATGAAAACTTTGTGCGTTTTATTATAACGTCATCTTGTGGTGTTGTCAGAGTCTTAAATGCAGTGTATCCTAACTTCTGTGCATATATCATCTAGCTGAAACTTGGTCTCTGAAAACAACAGTGGAATGCAAATACAACACAAACATCTAATATTTTAATTACAAACATCTAATTTTTTTTGCCATGTGTAAAGAACAATAATTAACAGAAAGTAAGAGAAAATCTCAATAACATTTGATAGATTTTTTTAAAAAAGAAAAATTAATCACTTTTGAGATGTTTTGTGACAGAGAATGAATATAAAATTTCAGCAAAACAACAAAACACATATGAAAAAGCAATTCCCATTGGGCTGAGCAGTGGTCTAGATTTGATTTTGAAAACATGATTTCTTTTTTTTTGAACTAGCACCTTTGATTAATATTTGTATGTTGCTATGAATGCGGGATACTTAAAGCAGCCACATCTTTCCCAGACACTATACAGTTGCTTTAAAGTCTGCAAACTGATCTATTCTCTATTCTCATGAGCTCCAAAGTACTTTTATGAGACTGCCTCTTTGAAACCTTGCACTAATAAGTCCTAATAACCAGGACAAACTGTACAGAATTCCAATTCTGTGAATGAACTCAGCCTCTTGAAACAAAACATGTGGATTTCCTATCCAGTTTGCTTCCATGGATTCACTGACAAAGAAAGAATACAAAATAAAACATTTCACCATTCTAGACACAGAGGCAAAATTCTGTGCAAATACCCTAAAAAACCAAAGTTGTTTGTGGCATTTAATTCAAACAGTTCATGAACTGTTTAGTTGATTGATAATCCAGACATAACTATTATTCAGGTGTTTTAGGATGAGAGCTTTTAAAAACAAACAAAGCAAATCCATATATTTATGCTAAATATTTTTTCTAAGGTGTACACAGTGACTAACCTATCTTTGTTGATGTCATTGAAACTGAACATTGATTTTTTTTTCAACTGATTAATCTTTTTTCTATCTACCTCCACTTTTCCACCATCCTTAAACAGCTGGGTTTTCATTAATCAAAAATCATATTTCTCCATCTACCAAAATAAGGGTCAGGTCTCCCATTGAGGGGATTATAAGAGTATCTCCAACAAGATGTGGGGGGGCAACATCATTCTGAATGAGCTAAAACAATAAATGAGTTTTTGAACTGCTGGCTGGAAAGGTAGTGACCGTGGTAATCATTATTTCCCTTGTTTGCACAGGACCTTCCAACAAAACAAATAATGTTTTTGTGATTGGATTGACATGATGTTAACAATGCATTTAATGCCAAAATCAGTATGAATACAGGTAAAGCTTCCACTAATACCGGTACCAGGATGTTAAAGCCACCTATTTTCTAAGCAACTTTAAACAGCCTCAATTTAAAAAAAAGCTAGCCCTCCTTTAGTAAATATATCAAATGGGGCCCATGCCATATAGCAACCAGGTGAAATGCAAGAACCATATTGCCATCTGTTCAATGCTTGCCTACAGTACCTGCAGCCTTTTCTGCAATCTTGGCTTCTGCTACACTCTCTTGTAGCTCTAAGTCCAGCTTCAGTGTCTTCAATTCCTTGTCTTTTTCAGACAGCTGATCCTGAAGCTGGATTGAACAAATATATTGTAAAATGTAAATACAAATGTAAAATGTAAAAGTACGTGGGCACATCTTAATTTACAATATATACATGTACAAATATACCAGCAGTTATATGAGAAAAGAAATTAAAGCTTCTTTCTTATGGGAAACAAGAAAAAAAGTCTGTTTTCCAAGAAAATCAATAATTACATTTTTTGGCTCAACATTGCTCATTTTGAAAGAGTGTTTTGTGGTAGTACTATATATTGGGACCCAGACACATATGATGTCATGCTTCCTAGACATGTCTGCTGAAAAACTAGTTCTTCCAAGTTGAATGGGATGATGTCTAAGACTGCAGCCATAAACAACCAAGTAGGATTTATGAAATTGGGGTAAGGCTCGTTTCACAACTGAATGAATTTTCTATTGTGGAGTAGTAAGTTCAGAAAAAGCATTTCTGGGGCTGCAGAGATGGAAGCTGACAAGAACCACATAGATAAGTGGGCTTTTTCACCCATCCCTTCCCAACTACAATGTTGGTGTCATAATATAAGTTGCTTCCGAAATTCAGACTTCTGAGAAACACAGCCAAAGGTCTATGTCTCATGTCCTTTTTGCACAATAATATTGCTGAATTACTACTATTTAAATTAATAAGCTTAATTTAGCATGGATTTCAATGGATTTCTACTCCACCAGAGGTACTGGGACTGCAACTCTCAGCATTTATGCTCAGTATCCCTAAGGACTGTGTTGGTTTTGAATCCTGAGGTTTATAGTCCCATGGTCACTGATAGAGAAGTCTGGTCTAAAATAAGAAAGAACTATAAACAAAACCAATTAAATGATTTCATAATAAATAATTAATTTGTGTAATATTTGTGTAATAACATAATTCAATCTGATTTTTCAACATTAAAGCCACAATGATGATTGTCACCCAATTTCTCCAATATTTTTGCTCTGCTACTCAGGAAACATTCAAGATTTCTCCAATTTGAGGAGATTCAATTGTATTTTACAATGAGATTTTGATAAGTAGGTTCTGCTAATGTATTTGAAAAATAATATGTTGCAAATCTTAATGTTATGAAGAAAATAGATTCCTATTAGTACATCAATTTTCATTTACAGCAGTGGTTCTTAACCTTTTCTTCACCATGGACCCTCTTTAAATACTTTTTGTGGCCAAAGGGCATGGCCACAGACCCCTAAGACTTAATTCAAGATTTAAATCATAACATTTCTTCAAGCCTTCATGGACTCCCTGTGACAACATCACGCCCCTCCCCCCTCCCGGGGTACAGGTTAAGAACCACAGATTTGGAGGATGGTTTAAGTCATGAATTCAGTTCTAAGAGTTTGTACAGACTGACTGCAATGCAGTTGAAATGTAAAATTCAGCAATGTACAATGGATCTCCTACCCATCAGTGTAGATTAAACAGATTAATATGTGTGTAATTATCTGTCTTGATCTACAATTAAAATTATTCTGAATGTTTAATTATATCACAGCACATCCTGAACAATTTATTTCTTCTCAAATTTCTTTAAGTCGGAAACACTTGGCAAAAAGATCAAGTTCACAGTCATAAGCCCTGCACTAGAGCTGATTCCCTTACAGAAAATTAACATATCAAGGAAACAAAAGTAATATCCTAAAATCAACAAATCATGAATTATATCATAAATAATCATTCTTCAACAACAACAAATCCTGAACCTTGTCAATTAGAAAAAAGAATATGAATATCTGTGACTAGATGAATAGATTGTACCTTCTTATTGTTTGCCCTTAGAACATCCAATTCATTTAAAAGGAATGCAATATTCTTTTCTTTATCTAGGTTAGCAGTCACAGAGTTGACTTTTCCTTCTTGTTTTTCAGTAGTAATACTGTACAAAAAAATGAAAGGGAAAATGATAAATTCAAAAGTATCCTCCAATCACTCACAAATGAGTGATTCAGGGTAGGGTCATCACTGAGTACAAAACACATGGTTTATAATCTAGTCTAGAGTGAGTCCAGGTTCATTTTCTGACATCTGTCATGACATGACAGACATCTGTCCTAGACTTTGAAACAATATATGTCAGATATTGCCACAACTTCACATGGCTATCACTGCATTTTAAGAGATGTGTTACCTTTAAAACATGTAAATGTTTTAAAATCCAGATTGACCTACTTTAACTTTACTTCTTAGAAATCTCAGTAACAAAGTTCATTTTAAAAAAAAACCCACATCACTTGCTACTGCTATTGAGGACATAACAGAAATAAAAAAGGGATGAACCTGAAAGGCCTAAAGTTAGAATATGCAATATATGGAATGAAAATAAAAACCAGAGAATTGTTCACACTAAAGGCCATGCTATGAAACCAGGAAGTAGACAAATGGACTTACTGTGGATTTTCCCAAGCCATTCACAAACAACATATATATATAACAACTTACAATGTGGTTGCTAACTGATGTAACAACTTACAAGGAACAGAGCATGCTTGCTTCTAAATGAAAGAACTGGAATACCACCTAATGTTATTTGAGTGGACTTTTCTTGGAACAGTATTCCATTTTTCTCTTCTTCCTCTGAGCTTCCTCTAAATGTACTAAAGATGGGTTAGATATAACCCTTGATTCTGATTCAAGATAGTAACATCAGCGGCATGCCTATTTTTAAAAAAATGTTACTATATTGTGCTGCCATAATGGCATAGCTTCAATTTCAGTGTTCAACTGTAGGTAGTGACTGTAGCCCTTAAAATCCAGGTAGAATTTTTTTAAGGTGCTATCTAAGTCCCTGTTTTTCTTTTCTTGATTGTTGGCAGCCTAGACCATATTCAGTAACAGGGCCACCCAAGCCTGCAATTCACTTAAAGGAAAGCTAGAAATCGCTAAAGTAAGTTTCCTCAGTTGGCAAAGCACCTAAGCATGGCTGATAGAGGTACCCAGTAACAGGATCAAAGACTAGATTGGAAAATAAAACACATTTCCTTAATGGTACCAAGAAAAATCCATGGATGCTGTCAAGCTCAATTCAATGATGTCTTTATTGTTTACCTTTTGGTAAAAAGCTTTTGCAGGTTGCTGAAACAGATCAACTGTGCCAATTTATCCACTGGTTAATGTGCCTAATCCAAACTCATCTTGGCAGCCATTTTGTGCGAAGACAAGGGAACACTAGGCTGCCATTTCAAAGATGCTCTTCAACCTCCCCAAAAGATTGACTAGCTCTTTATTAACATAAAATATGAACATGATTGAAAAAGTATAAGTATCAGGGTATATATTTTCAAGCTATAATCAACTGAGAAAAAGCTAATTACTGTTTCAAGTTTACTGGCATCCTACTTTTATTACATCAATTTGATTCTACCTATTTGATTAACAATATGTTAATGCATTATACACCTAATTAATATTACAAAACAATACATACTATGCAAAGTTTCACATTGAAAAAAGGGAAGGTTGGGTGTTAAATTTTGAGGAATTATGAAGCATTTTGGATGCTACTTCTCAAAAAGAAACTGGTATGTCCACAACTGTGAAACTGTTCTTTCTCTACCTCCTTAAGCATTTTTTTTTAATATTGAGAGAAAAGATAAAAAAGTAATGTAAAAACATAGAAGATATTGTGTTCAATCTAGAATGAAAGCTTACCTTATCCTTTCATCATTGTCAGGCACAGTAATATTCTTTAAATGCAAAGTCTTAGCATATTCTGTTTGTATAACATTTAAGTTGGTTATGGGTTGATCTGAAAAGTTGACTAGTTCTTTGTTTGTCCAAATGGCTGAGTGTCTTCTAGGCTGCAACCTTGCTGAAGAACTTGGAAAATTCAGGCAACTAGAAAAAGAGGCATCCTTCTTTTGTTCAGAATTCTGTTCCATATTAAAGGTTCCTATTTGGAAGATAGCAACATATTATTTTTAATTAAAATAATATTAAAACAATTAAGTACAAAATACAATCTATACAATGCCTCTGAAAAATAAAAAGTATAACCAAGGACATTTTAATGCTGCTTTTTAATAAAATATCCAGTAATTCTGACTCAAAAGAAAAATCCTGCATCTATGCAACCAAACTGCAGAGAAAAGGAGCTTTAGAAGAGTCTTCCCCAAACAATTTCCATAATCCACTAATAAGTTTGGCTATCCTGGTGGTGATTGTGTGAAATGTAGTTTGAACAGGATCTGGTTGTGAATGGCCATTTTAGCAGCCATGGGCCATAGCTAATTGAGGTTCAGCTTATGATCAACTTGCACTTTTATTCTTTTCACACTTCTTATTACCAAAACAGGTATCCATACATACTCAGACTTTTTACCTGCCTGGTTTTATTTCCATTTCCTAAGTGAAGAACTTTGCATGTATCTCTTAATTTTTTTTCAGTTATTTTCATCCCATGTCCCTGACCTATAAGGTGGTTCTTTGGCAGTACTGCTCCCCTCTTCTAAGTTATTAGATACGCTAGCCCCTTTTTTATTATGTGCAGATTTAAATGTGGGAAATATTTAAATTCCCTTGTTTCCCCCCCAGGGTTCAGAATAACTGAACAATTCTGGCCTATCTTTTACACGAAGGCCATTCTGATGTACGAAAATCATGAAAATTTCTTGCAATCTTTTCTTCTGGTTAAACATACCAATACATCCAACCATTTCTCGTGTACTGTTCTTCTGGGTCTCTTTTCATTTGGATTGCTCTCCATCGAACATGCTGCAGTTTATCAACGCCTTTCCTAAAACATGGAACTAGATACAATAGTCTTATCCTGACGTATGCAGAATAGAAAATAATGTACTTTTCTTAACCTTGGTTCTTTATTTTTCTAATTAAAAAAACTAGGATGCTTTTGGCAGATGCCTTACCCTATTGGCTCTTGTTCACCATATGCTCTGCCAAAATATTCAGATTCCAATCATGTGGTCTATTGTTCAGTGTGTTCCCCTTTAGCCTATATTCATGCCTTTGATTTTTCCTACTGAAATGTAAATCTGCACATGTACGTCTCTGTAGAAATTCATCTTGCTGAGATTTGCCTCATGTCCCATCTTTTCAAGAAATTTTTGAATCTTGACACAGTCCTCAAAGTACTGGCCATTAATTTGTGACCCTATTTGGCACAGTGCCAGGATACATCATGCAACACCTTGCCGGAAAAAAAAAGGAAGAATCTGCTGAGGATCTGCTTTGCTTTTGCCACCTGTTATGCCTGGTGGTTTAATTACTTTAATTCCATTGCATTGTATTTGCAGCTTAAAATATATATGGAAAATAAATACCAATAAATAATTTGATATCCTTTATATCTTTAACACACCTGCACATTTGACACTTATATTTTTAACCTAGTTATATATGTTATGACAACCATGTTCCAGTATCTATGGGGTTGCCATAAAGGAGAGGGGTCAACCTATTTTTCAAAGCACCTGAAGGCAGAACAAGAAGCAACAGTTGGAAACTAATAAAGGAGAGAAGCAACCTAGAATTAAGGAGAAATTTCTTGACAGATTCCAATTAATCAGTGGAACTGCTGGCCTCCAGAAGTTGTGGGTGTTTCAACACTAGAAGAGATTGGACAACCATTTGTCTGAAATGGTATAGAGTTTCCTGCTTGAGCCAGGAGTTGGACTAGAGGAACCCCCCCCCAAGGCCCCTTCCAACTCTGTTATTCTGTTACTATTATAACTCTCCACTCCAATTACTAACAAATATGGGTGAAAAGGGCAGACCTAAAACATGCACCTGCAGTACTTGGATGTGGAACCAATCAAATACATTGTACAATTGTTCAAGCAGTTCTGCAACCATACAGCCCAGACCAATTTCAATATTCTCTCTACTTGTCAGAATGTTTTCTTGAAATCAGGGTATACTATTATGCATTGCAGCATCATAAGCATCCTATATTCTGTTAGAAAAGGAAAGTGGGTTAGTTTAGCAAGATTTGCTCTTGGTCAATCTATGGCAGTTTCTGCCAAGAGATGCATTAGTTTCTAAATGCTTAATAACTATTTCCAAATTTTGCTTTATATTGACATTAAGTAATAAGTCTGCAAGTACAGAGCACATCTTTTCTGCACCTGCAAGCTCTTTCAAGATGTGCTCTGTAACTGATGTGCTCTTGGAATCTTAAATTTCTCAAACATTTCTTAATTTAGGCTGGGTTGCCACAGCTTCCTTTTGTTAATTGTTCTGCTTTAGATCCTTCCGAGCTCAGTTTAGATTACTGGTATAGCCAGTAATATAGATAGGAAAAACAAAAATAAAAAAATGTGATTTTACATTTGCCCTTATCTGCTTTAGCTTTTCTAACTTTCTTTGTGCAGACACTACCCTACTTTCTAGAATACCTCTTTCGTGATTACACCCATTTTCCCTCATTAATTTTTATTGAAGAATTTCTTGGCAAAAACAATACACATTTAAAAAAAAAAAAGATATCAGTGATAATGATATTTGCATGATAAGTAAATATGAAAGAAAAAAGAAAAAGATAAAATCCCTCTATCTCAGTGGTGGCTAACCTTTTTGGGCTCCTGTGCCAAAAATTGTGTGCGTGCTGGTACGCACGCGTTCACGTGCCAGCAACCAGAAGGCAATGCGCACCCCCCCATGCCCCCTGCACATGAGCGTACAATCCCCTGCCTCCCCCCCCCCGCCGCTGCCTTTCCCCTGCCCCCTTACCTGCACTGCGCCTCACAGCTGTTTTTTGGCCAGTTTGAGGCCTTTTTTGGCCTCCCAGAGGTTTGAAAAAAGCCTCTGCAGGCTTTGCAGGCCGAATAGTAGGCCCATTTCATCACTTTCGGTATTACAGAAAGAGATTGGACAACCATTTGTCTGACAACCATTTTTCAAACCTCTGGGAGGCCAAAAAAGGCCTCAAACCAGCTGAAAATCAGCTGTGAGGCACGCATGCACATGCGCAGTAAGGTAAATTTGCCTGCAGCTCGCGTGCTGGCACAAATGGCTCTGCATGCCACCTGTGGCACGCGTGCCACAGGTTCGCCATCACGGCTCTATCTGGTCCATTTAATTTTTATCTCAATCAAATACTCATATTTCGGCACAATGATTTCCTAAGCTGCTTTCCATTTTTGCCTTATTGAAATGGTGTGTAATAATACTATAGTCCCAATATCTTATTCCTTAGAAATTTTCTGACCTTGGAATGTTATCTACAGCAGGGGTTCCCAATTCCCGGTCTGTGGACCGACAATGGGCCACAGCATGCTAGAAACTGGGCCGCGCAAACAACCAAAGCGCCATCCACAGGATCAGGCAACATGTGGAACCACGCCACCTCCAGTCTGCAGAAAACCTTTTCCCACAGAACCAGTTCCTGGCCCCCAAAAGGTTGAGGTCTACTGATCTAGTGTATATGATAGTCCTTCAAAAACTAACTTTACAGGCAATTGACAATCTTTGCAGCATTCTTGAGTCATTGAAAGTTACTGTCAATATAGTACATTTCCTGTGTCTGACTTCTGTTCTTTTTCCCCCTGCACTTGCTTTAGAGAGAAAGGGATTGCAAGAGAGTATGTTGCTTGCTCTTCTACACATTGAGATCAATGTGATTGAGAGTGCTGAAAGGCTTAGGCAAAGGAAAAAATTGCCGACATAAATTGCTTGCCTTTTTTCTCTCCATTTCCCAGCATGGGGAGATTGGAGAAAAAGGTATTTCAAGAGAATAAGCGATTTGTGTGGTATGCCTGTGGTTACCAGTCCTGAATTATGGGGTGACTGCTTTGCTTTTAACGTGTACAAGACAGTAAGCAGGTATCTGAGCATTCCAAAGGGTGGAGGAGTGTTTACAAGGCAAACAAAAACCAAAGGTGTGAATTTGAGTAGAGTGGTCTTGTGTCTTTCCAGCTGGAAACCACAGATATAGTTTATGATTTCCTACTTAGCAACTGCTTTGCTTAGCAGGGGAGTTGCCAATCCAAATTGGGGTCATTAAGCAAGGACTCCCTATATATTCCAATTTCCCTTTCTACAGTATCGTGAACCCTAATATGATGTCTTTAACTAGATTCTCCCAATTAGCATAATCTGAAGGAGGACCAATCTCTTTGTGTCTCATCTTCAGCCTTCAGGAATATGAAACAGTAAGCTAGCTTCATGAATAATTTTTGATCTTGCGGCTTTGGCTGAGTTGATTTTCCAAGAATTATCTGTACAGTTAAAGCATGTCCAATCCGTAGCCTGAAGGCTCATGTGGTCCTGGACAGGTTGTAATGTGACCCATAAGCTTGTAATAAAAATATTAAAATATGGTAGTTTGTTATTTATATATATTAACTATATATTTTATATATGGCCCAAGACAATTCCTCCTCACTCAATGCAGATGAGGCAAGCCAAAAGGTTGGACAAGCCTGTGTTAAAGTCTCTAATGATATGCTATATATTTCTCTTTTCTGAAAGTCCTGTAATCTGGCTAGGAAACCATTATCAACCTTTTTTTTCCAGGTCTTATGAAACGAAACCCATGCTGTGACATAATCCATCAACCATACAACTAAGACCACGGCTACAGAAACCAAATCTCTCCTGCTGATCCTGTTTGTGTAGCCAGTTATTCATTTGCAATAATCTTCTTTCACTTTCCAGTCTTCTTTACCAATGGGAAGGGTGGATGGGAGCAAATCTGAGTCTCATATTTTTCAGTTTCAGTCTTCTTCCCAGAGTTTTAAAGTCCACAGATAGAGTTGCTGAAACTGCTCTTTGTCCTATCATTTGGCCCCATGTGGATTAACAAGAAAAGATAATTGTCACTGGACTTGATAAGTCTTGGAAGTTGTTCTTCTACATTCTTAATCCCTGATCTTGTCAGACAGCACACTTCAGAAGCCAATGTGTCCATTCACACATAGTTATTTCAATGTCTTA